TTTCCATCATCATCATCATCATCATCGCATCGGCATCGTCATTTGAAAATTACCTTGCACATATTATAGAATTAATGTGAGTGATGATAATGGAAAAAGAATCAAAGGAATGGATCAGGAATTGTAGAGTAATGAAATAGTAATTTTTAAGTAAGTATGCCTGCGGTTTTACGGTTGCGATTTCTTTGGATGAATGGCATAAAACCCCACAAACTTGCTCCTGCAAGTAAAACTAGACCGAGTATAGAAAATAACGCTGGTATGCTTTCGTACCTAAGAAGAGAAAAGAACAAAAAATCAAAAAAATACATACAAAAAAACCATTACATTTCGTACCATAATCCACAAATTGGTGGTCCTATTAATTGCAATATACCTAGAATAACCAATTATATACGATTTTTATAAATGGAAATAAAATTTAGGGCATGTCAATGGAATTTCTCTTTTACAAAAAAAAAAATTATATTCAAAAGTAATGCAATGACCACAAATAAATTGAAAATCGCTAAGCAAACAACTTTGCTTGTAGAACTACTCATATATGATTCATTTACGCAGTAATATTGACCATGGCGGGACTGTGCGGAATTTTGCAGAGATGACTTACAAACGATGTGTGTACAGCACTTCTATCTTCTATGTGTATCATTCTAACGCAGATGCTCAGTAACTTAGCTGTGGTTATGGCTATCGAGGTGTTCGTTTGAACAAAATAAATCCATGAACAGCAAAGAATGCTGTTGCTCTCGTACACACAGCATTTGCATGCTAAGAAAGCAAATGTTTTGAATGACTTTTTTTATAAATTTCGTTTCAACTTTTTTTCTCAAAATTTATTCGGTATTACTATTTTCGGTAAATATTTGGTTATGTCCATTTTTAATGATAATCATAATAATAACTGCACCGAACAGCGTTCCTTCGCCTTGGTGGTTTATTCAAAATTATTCAAATAAATATAATTTGATTCTTACCATTAACAAAAAGACTGATTCCATAAGTCGAAGTTAAGCGTTCAGTTCCCAACATGTCTGCCATAATAACGGCGGTAATTCCAACATAAGTGCCAGATGCCAATCCAAATAATCCACACCAAAAGCTGACCATCGAATAAGTACGAGCGAACGGCAAAACAGCAAGGCTAAAACCTGAAAGGGCCAACCTAATACAAAAATAACAGAATAAAACAAAAGAATAGAAAAAATATCAAGTAATGAGAATGATATAATCACGGGGTATGGCAATCCCCAAGTGACGCAATACCAATATACAAATCACAGCGGACGGCAGTTCGCGCGAGTGACGAAACCACATTAAAAATTTCATATGAATTCCTATGAAAAATCAAAATGTCTGTCTGTCTGTGGCCAATTTTGCGTAGTTGTTTCTGATCTTTTCGAAACTTTCTGTGATTAAAGTACAAAAAAAACTAAGACTTTTTTGTTCCGGCACTTTTCGATTTGGCCGCCATGTTGACCGTGGCCGGCCTCCAAAAGTCACTTTTTGACTTTTGTCCCTACAGACACCGAGGCACATACACTTGACACACCCCGGATATATGCACCTCGTTGGAAAGGTCTTGAAGTAAGCTATCGAATGGTGCCATTTGTGGCCCAAAAATTTCAAGTTGGAGTGGCCAAATTGGCCAAAAACCAAAAGGTTACTTTTTGGCCGGACACATAATGGTCATTAGCTCGAAAACTAGTCTTTTTTGGTCACTTGAAAATTTCACCGATTTTAAGGCCCAAGTAGCTTTAAAATGCCGCATAGCTTATACCCCTAAAAATTCTTGTCTTCAAGATATGGCCTTTTTTATTGCAAATATGGCCAAAAATGGGAGTTTTAAAATTTAAAGAATTTTATGGGCCAAAATGTGTTCCAATGACTCTGTAAATATGCTCTGTGACTGGCCAAACAAAAATGAACAAAATATCGACAGTTTTTAATGGCTATCCCACCAAAAATTCGGCCAAATGTACCAAAATTCGATTTTCACAAAAATGTCTAGATGTATGAAATATGAAATGTTAACCACAAATAACTACAAGTTTGATAGTCTCCTCGCATTAGATCGATAAAATACCGAATCTTATGTCCCCTCCCACCAGGCCAGAAGGTGGACTATCGTTGGGAGAGGTGCTAACCGCATAGTCACAAAAGAAATTAAAAGAAATCTACAAAAATGTTAGTATAAATGGCAAACTATGCAAAAGGTCATGCAAAAATGGCCATTATTTCATACGGTCGCTGTGGGACCTAGACTTGACATAACCAGGACATACTCGTATGCATATTCGTTGGAAAGGGCGCACACTACCCAGGGGGTCAAAGTACCCGATTGGGCTCAAACTTCACACAATTTTAGTGATTAATTAGTGAAAATTTGTGACGCAATTTT